GACGAATTTGACAATAAAAAAATTCTGTCCCACTGTTGATATGGCAACGGTTAACAAAATGATCTCCCAATCAGCTAGTCAACTTGTTATTGTTTATTTTTAATTATTATCTTTATTTGTAAGGAAGTGTATACATAACACAACAAGATATTACCCGCATTAAGGTAGCGAGAAGGGTTTGACGACGCTTTTTATTAAAGCATTTTCTTTCTGTTGGCTCTTTCAGAACCCAATTTTAGCGTAAATATTTCAAAAGCCAAAGTATAGAGGGACAAATTTGCACAAACTAGAGTGTCAATGTTTACGTAATTGCCACGTGACCACAAAAATGGCAAACCTTGTAAAAATGACTAAGTCCGCGATTGCGAGAGCACAATGCGGAATTTCCGGGTGAAATTTGCGCACCATCATAGCCCTGTGTATATGTCTGTTGTTCAGGCCGGAACAACAGACATGTACACAGGGCTAGCACCATCATTATCTTTTGAACGATAACTGCGAGTTTGAATGTCCTAGTCCGAACGCGCTTGATTTGGCGGCGGTCCCAAATGAATCCAACTCAACCAAAACTTAATTAAAAAATACAGAATACATTTTTTTTTATAAAAGGGCATTTGAATGCCCTGATGGCGACAGCTGGTGATAAATCTTGACGAATATGAATATTCATTGCATTCAGCGATTTTGAATAATTTTTTTAAAGTATTTAAACAAGAGATGTTATATATATATATGCACACATAGTTCTCGTTTAAGCGTTAAATGTTAAGCCACGTCAATACTACACCGCTACAATGATTCAAAATCGGATGTATATTCCGTTTAAAGTTGCGTGTGGACCGAATTTCCGCAGGATGTACTCTATTGGAAGAAAAAGGTAATGATGATTCCGTGAAATAATATTTTATTTTCTTACTCAGTATCCATTATTATATCTACTTTTCCCCATTTACCGCTATGTCAACAAATTTTACTGAAAAAAACCAAAACTATTTTTTACAAGTGCACATGTACTAGTAGTTATTCGGGGTGTATCGATGATTAGTCCTGTGTTATCATAATGACATCACATTTGGTCTACACACCGATGCAGTATTATTTAGAATCAACACGTGTTACATGTTAATGGTAGATATTACAAACATATATTCTCAGTACATGTATATTTTTTTACTACCATGTGACTAAAAACGCGACAAAGCATGAGATAACGCCTTGAAAATTAATATACAAAATTTATCGGACTCTTTAGACTACAGTGCGATCAATCCCAAGCTACTTGTTTGTTGGCAAAGTATACCCATGAATAACACAGGGAAAAATATCACGTACAAATACACATAATGGTCGATGATTGAATAGACATTAAAATGCAACACATGTTACGCTATACGCCCACAGCTCTCATAATTGCAGCAGTAAAATTTACAGTTTGATTTATGTGCTTCCTGGAAATTTCCATCAATACAGGACTCGACGAGCGTCAATTAAAAGTGAATCAATTTCGATGACGTCGGAAACGGCTTATGCCATCTAATGCTGAGTGTAGAAAAAAAAATCGATATCAACACTTGATATTATAATTTTCAAAATCAGAGTATCACGGAAAATAAGGACAGTTGTCACTCCATTCCTAATTGTATGCAAACTATCTGCAGTCTGTCTGTCTGTCTGTCTGTCTGTCTGTAATGGCAATATATAACTTTGAATTAAATGCAGTATAGTTGTGGATTCAAGTTATAAAATTGTTGTATAATTCACCCTAGACTGGCGCAGTAGGGACGATTAATTTGTTTTTGTAGTTTAAATAAAATAATAAAAAAAAAAAAAAAAATTGCGAAATGGAGGTGTTAGCGCGAAATCACCTGTAACTGCGTTTATTCTGCATGGCCCTCTATCGACACTGCAGGAACCCGTCGATTTTTCAACTGGTAATTATGTTATGAGTGTTTTAATTGACAATCATCTAGGCCAATCACAACGTCTCTTCCACTGACCTCTGACCGATTTTTTTATTGTACAATTAGTACGAGTTATTTTTTCACACATTGTGATGAATTAGAAACGACGACTACGACAAACTAGAATTTCAGTGTGCCGCTATGTTGGGTCTGCAGTGTGACCTTTACCATGTTGACCTCATTATGCACGTATTTCCGCGCCCACCTCATTATAATATGTGCAATCATGAATATTTAATAGCAATGAATTTCCTGCAGAATAAACCAGTCGGGGTGATTTCGCGCTAACACCTCCATTTCGCGATTTTTTTTAATTTTATTTAAACTACAAAAACAAATTAATCGCCTCGACTGCGCCAGTCTAAATTCACACATAAGCAAATGATAAATCTCACACGTCTTTTGTGTTTATGCAAATTAGCGTACATTCAGCGCTATGACCACGCAGCTGTTTTAAAATTTCCATCAAAGCACATTTAAATTGTATGAAATAAACGCCAAAGATTAGACGTACCGGGTCTAGGGAATTCGTGACATCCCAGTGACGCACTAGAACGATGCTCTGAGACGTCAATTTCACCGTGATCTGATCCAGGTGATTAGCCCAGATCAACACGTGATACCATGACCCGACACTATAACGTGTCAATATGTTCACTTGATATCATTATAACTATAATATTGTAATACAAGCAAACATTTTTTTTATTTTTTTTTTATTTCTTTGGAAGATGACATCTCAACTACGGGATCCGTGACAACACGGCGAACATTTACAGATAAATAGAATAAAAAAATACTATAAATATACAATACAAAATCAAAACTCTATAGTTGATAAAATACGCCCAAGGGCAGTTTTAAACTGAATAAAACTGATAAAAATAGCAATAACTGGATACTGTTTCCATTTTCCATTTCATTCCCGAAACATAATGCAATATATAGTACCATATAGAGTTCAGCTGTGCAATAATAACACCGTGCCTTTGGAAAGGGTCATTTTTTCAAATCCATATTTTGCCCAGTTCCAATGCGAACGTTCATACAGTAAGGTTGCGTAGGTTGAGTGATAAACCATTTAGTGACAGCGGGGGATTCGTCACCTGCGCATGCGTCAGATAGCCATAGCGTGTCATTGCGTTGTGTCGTCACCGGAAGCGCTGTCCCAGCGGTGTACAAGACGCCGACCTGCATCGTCAATGGTGTCATTGTTTATAAACGTCTGCCCATGGGCCTTTGCATTTTTAACGTGTGTTGTTATCGTCGCTTGGGACTCAATTCCCGCGAGTGCAAAATTCACTAACTGTAATAGAAGCTGTCTATAAATGCACAGTCATGGCCAAGAAGAGTAATCTAAATCGTTGTACCATCACATTGTTGAAGTTTTGCTATTAAAATGCAACATTGAAAAAATGAATACTCAAATTGCCGGAAAAAAAATCATGAATGCTTGTTTTTCGAACGCTTTGTATAATATTCATAGTTATACATAAATATAAAATGTATATAGACCTTATTTTTAAATAGCGACTATTTTTGCCTTCCCCATTGTTCAATTCTCTACAGTGTCGACTCCTCTGTTCTGCTGACCTACGTAATCATGAACGCGACGGCGACAGGAACGGACCACTATTTGGGGTGGGGGTGTGTGAAAACAAGTAGTGTCCGTCGCTCTCTCGGCGTTTTTTTTTTGCAATAGCGGGGTCGCGTGTACAATATGTACAGTATCAGAAGTTTCGGAAAACATTAATTTGTCTATGTGAGCGTAATAGACAATTTAATAATAAACCCACACAACATTTACACTGTGATAACAATTATTCAAAATACCTGAATTTTTAATTACAACATCAATGCATTTATTGCGAATGGGAAGGAAGTGGGATATAATATGAATAACAGAAAAATGTAAATAAAATGTAAATGTAATCTATTGACTGTTCAAATGATTGTACTTTTACAGGGCTATGTTTTGACGGTTGGTACTGAGCTATGACATTAGAAAGATTAAAATGTTTACTAAGAAACAGAGCATCTTTGGGTTCCTCATTTGTGTTAGTGCCATCATCTTGATATTCTTCTGTCAGACGGCATATTACGGTCATATGACGTAAGTAATCCTTTGTTTTCTCGGAATAGTGTGTGTGTTCGTTTCAGCTAATAAATGAAGTATGTAGCGCCCTCAGGCGACGGAGCGCTTTAGTTACATGAATATAACACTTTCCCGGAATTCAAAGATGCGGCGTTTCGGATGCACGCGCATACCATTTCGGGTGTGCAGTAAACTTACACGCGTGATATTGTGCTTGCGTGCGGATGTATCAATCGACGTGACTGAAATAGGATTCCATTTTACCGAATGTCAATGTTTGTATTTGCACCATGAAAAAAGGTGGGCGTCGTGCTTGCATCCCAGTCTCACTACTTTCGGAAAAGTAGTGTAGGCCGACTGTCCACAGCGTCGATATTACTTTAACAAGTGATCGTTCGTCAATAGAAATACTGTTTTAAACGATTTTGATATATTTCGACAGTATAAGCAAACATAGTTTTACTTCGGAGAATCACTCCTACGCAAGATATATAATAACTCATTGTACTTGTTTTGATTTGTTTTGGTTGGGGCGTTCTAAAGCGGGCTACCGGGCTGTACTTGTAATAACATATATTGTATTGGAGTAATATTCCATATGACAGCAAATACAATGCTGATTCAATGTTTGTTTTTCATGTTATTGTTATTGTTATAATCATGAAGTTTCGTCATTCAAAGTTGGTCATTTGCCGTCATAATTTAAGTGGCAAATTATTAGCAACGTCGACTCCACACAGTCTTGTTGCCACCGTGTTAAACAAAACAATGGCATCATGATCACGAACTTGAGTTTGAAACGTCCACGCGATCACGTGACGGCGCATGGTATTGACATATTGCACAATTATGGATAACTAGTTGTATTAGTTTATCTTTAATTTATGTTTATATATTCTTTTTTTAGATTTCATGAAATCGATGGGAAACACATTCCCCGGAACATGCCGCTGGCACAACATAATGTCTCTGAAACCATTATGACACACACGCCTGTGACAAACTGTCAGCCAATCAATAACGTCTGCTTTATTAAAACCCGAAAAACCGGAAGTACGACATTATCATCGATAATCAACCGTTGGGGAGTGAACAACAATCTATCGTTTGCTGTGATGAAAACAAACAAATTAAGCGGCCATTTTAATTCTCTTGTTTTCACAGACGACAGTCCCAAGTTGCACTTCTTGCCGCCTTTAAACGTCAAGCCTGGCGACTGGGACGCGTACAAGTATAATATAATGGCTGTGCACGTGCGTTACAATAGGACGGCGTTTGATAAATTTATGCTTCCTGGAAATAAATACATCTCAATTATCCGAGAACCAGCATCGCAATATGAATCAGCGTTTAACTACTATAAAATCGCCTCGGTGGTTCAGACATTTAACAAGAGCGTGCGATACGAAGACACCATGGAAGAGTTCATGCGATTACCAGAGTTTTATTGGTCAAAGACAGTTGCTAAATATGGCCAACTGATTTCTTTCTACACACGGAATACTCAAATATATGATTTAGGACTTGATCACAACACACACCATAATATATCCACGGTACTTAGTCATATAAATAAGCTTAAAAAAGAACTAGATTTGGTATTACTTGTTGACTATTTCGACGAATCGATTGTGCTTTTGAAAAAGCTTCTTTGCTGGACATGGGACGACGTCGTTTATTTGGCACGCAACGCAAGACCAGACGGCACTAGGAAAGAACTGTCCATGGAATTGAGACAGAAAGTGATACAATGGAACTCAGCTGATCACCTGCTTTATCAGGAATTCAATCGTACCCTCTGGGCAAAAGTCGCGGAATATGGACCGCAATTTAAAGACGATTTGGAGGAGCTCCGGTTTCGCAGAAATAAGACCGAAACAGAGTGCGTGGGTAAAAATAAGACGATTGTATTAGACGGGCGGAAGCAGGTGGTCTACAACAACGTCATCAACCCACCTAACTATTGTTACTTACTCACCAAGTTCAACAACGACATTATTCACCAAATAATGGAAAAACAGTCAAGTGGATTTTATCTCAATAACACAAGTGGTATTTATACTTATTTATATATTAAACGTATATTGTGTACGGCAGTCATTTGGGCAATAGCATACGTCTTACCCCCGCCCCATGGATTTTGGATCATCCACAAAATCATCCTGAGACCGTAAGCCGAGATAAATAAACGGATTTAAGGATGACTTGAAACCTCTCTGATAATTGGACGTATGTTATTGCCCAAATGAAGCCAGTACATATGATTTATAACCTATCGCATCCGACACGATCGAACACGACAATTAATACAATTTATTTAGTTTGTAACACAATTTTAAACAGTAAACGTTTAACAAAAGTGGGCGAAATAACAATAATACCATTTGCCCGTATCCTTATCCCAGCGTTGAAGCTACGCACAACTGTGTTTGAAATTACTGACTCCCCGTACCCCGTTAAACAATAACAAATCATTATCGGTGGTAAGGTAACATTTGTTCATTGTCTGCCTTAATACAAATTTTGAAAGTTCAATTCGATTATTCGATTAAGTTGAACACCATTCCAGCAACAATACAAAACGGAAAATTCAAATGGTCAGTTTTGTGTGGCGTTTCTGCCATAGATATATGACAGTTTAAATCACTACAGTCCAAGATATATTTAACAAAATTGAAAAATAATAAAACGCCTGGTCAGGATGGAAGACCGGCAGAATTTTGGAAACACCCCCACAGAAGATATATAATATGTTACATATTTTATTCAATAATGTTTTGGACAGGGGTTTATTTCCCATGGCTTTAGGATTAATAGCTCCAGTTTATAAGAAAGGGTCTAAAGGTGAACCGGGAAATTATCGTAGTATTATGCTATTAAATACTATTAGTAAATTGTACACAAATTTCGGCATGGATTGATAATTATTGTAAAATAGTTGAAGTACAGAGTGGCTTTCGGAAGGGAAGGAGTACCATGGATAATGTATTTATTCTTTCTCCACTTATCTGAAATATGTATTTCATTTAAAAAGCCGTTTATACTGTGCATTTATAGATTACGAAAAAGCTTTTGACCGTGTTCATCATTATTCCCTGTTCTATAAATTAGCCAAGGCTGGTATAAAAGGAAAACTCAATGTATACACATGGTCAAGCATGTGAGACGATATTGAAAATGCACTTTCACAAGGGGTTGAGACTGTTGTATATTCCAATACTCTGAAACTAATGTATTTACTTTATGCAGACGATCTCGCGCTTCTTAGCAGTTCTCCTATTGGTTTACAGCGTTTGTTAAATAGATTGGCTGATTATTGTAGCAGATGGAGATTGCATGTAAATCTGAATTAATCTAAAATTATTGTATTTCGGAAGGGAGGGAGATTAAAACAAGTTGAGAAATGGTTTTGGAAAGGAGGAGAAATAGAAGTTGTCTCAAGATACAATTATCTCGGTGTAATTTTCTGTAGTTCGGGTATCTGGTACCAAGCACAAAAACACATTGCAGATCAGGCAAGGAAAGCTTTATATTCCCTACAAAGTATGCTTTATAAATTTGGGGGATTACAACCAAGTATTGCATTTACAGTTTTTGATTGTAAAATTCTCCCAGTTCTCTTGTATGGCAGCGCAATTTGGGGAGTCCATAAATGTAATGATATTGAAAAAATTCACCATAAATTTTGTAAATTTATTTTGGGGGTAAACTTGAAAGCCACAAATTGTGCTGTCAGGGTGAGCTGGGTAGACACCAAATACATACATTTATTAACATTGAAATAATTTGTTTTTGGTTGAAATGTATAAAAGTAGACTCCCCAGAAACTGTAACGGTTAGAGATTGTTATCAATACCAGTAAACTCGGGCAAACCAGGGGTTAGATTGCTGGGCACTGTACGTCAAAAACTTGTTAAATAAATATGGCTTTGGTGAAGTATGGGTTAAACAACAGGTGGCTAACTATGCCCTCTTTCTATATGAATTTAAACAACGAAGTTTTGTTATTTCTGTGCAAGAATGGTTTACTGGCGTTGCGTACATACTGTAAATTTAAATGTAATATGACTTGTGAAAAGTATTTAGAATGTATTTCAAATGTTACTTATAGAAGGGCACTGTCTTGTTTTAGAATTTCTAGACATGACCTAAATATTGAGACTGGGAGAGGGACAGGGGTTCCACTGGAACAGAGGTTTTGTCCATTTTGTTGTAATCAAATTGAAAGTGAATATCACATGTTTCTAATTTGCCCACAATATGCTAATCTTAGGCTAAAAAGTATTCCACACCTCTTTTTGTCTCCAGCAACAGAATGGAAATTTATTTCGTTAATTAATTTCGTGAAGTAATTCAAATACATTAGTAAATCCAGGCAAGTTTATTTTCTTATGGAATGACTGGGGGAGGGTTTATTTATTTATTTATTTATTTATTTATTTATTTATTTATTTATTTATTTATTTATTTATTTATTTATTTATTTATTTATTTATTTATTTATTTATTTATTTATTTTCAAGAACATTTAATATTGTACATGTAAGGCCCATGGCCTATAGTACTGAATAAAGATATACATATATTGCGTGGTGTTTACTTGGAATTGAAATGAAAGTATTTTAAAATAGTCGTAAATATATGGCTGGTAACTTTTCAAAAATCGAAAATTATCTGTCCTGGTGTCTGGTACGTACAGTTAGAAACACGTACTATTCTTTTGACTATCGACGCTTGAAATGAGAGTGCCAACTTCGATGCAGTAGTTTCACACACGCCAAACATTTATACGATATTTGATATTGTATTAGTCTGCTGTGAATCATTATACTGTGTTAGCCAATACTCTGTCTGAACAAAATAGAAAACGTGGAATTTCGTTGCCTGATTTGATTTCGACATACGTATCCAAGGCCGCCATTTGTAAAACAAACATGACAGTGCCACACGCATGAACAGCGATGAAAAGTATGTTAACTATTCCCAAAGTGACGTCAGCTGGAGAATTAATTGTTTAACAATGTTCAAAGAAACGATATTTTCGGGAATAGCTCTCCATGTGCGGGAGACCTATATTTCCCCATGTGATCACGTAATGACCAATCATGACACATGATTTATAACCTATCGCATCCGACACGATCGAACACGACAATTAATATGTATATGGCGTATTATATAAGTGTACATATGTTTTGTGTCAATTACATGTTATGCACTGACATGTAAAAATGCAATAATTTTGACAATTAAATATTATACTCTGATTTCTATTTTTTTAATTATGTGCTGAAAGTGATAACAAATGTTGAATTTTTTGGGGGGATTTAAAAAGAAAAACACAATACCTATTTATAAACTGATTTATTGTTACGATTACTTTATAAGTATCAATGATGTAATAACGTTTTTCCCATATTATATCAAAAGGTAATGAAATGGTGTGCGGTTTTGAGTACCGCTCAAACTGTGGATATACAATATCCAGCAATAGTCAGTACAAATGGATTTTCAACAGCCAAGCGATGATGGCGGACAAGACTACTGGATCACGGGAAGGTAGGTAACTGTCAACGGTCAAAAGTTAATGTTAAGCATGCGTAATTGTGGTGCCCGCACTTAATTTAATACACTACGTAAAGACAACGCGACAACTTGATATTAAAGGGTTGTTCTGAGCAAACGCGAATAAATACAAATGCATAAATAAAATTAAAATAGAATGTAATTATCGCTAGTATTCACTTTCTGTTGGTATTAATTTGATTTATTTAATAGCAATTGAGGAAGACAACCTATGAAATTAACCATGTGACGCGACGTCCAATGAGCTCAGTGGTATAAAGAACATATTCGATATTGACGGCATCCAGGTTAACTAGCCACACTTAAATATTGAGTACAAGCTGTGATAGTTATGAGTTTACATAATGATATTGAATACTTAATTCACTCATACTCCGTATTGTTGAACCAACACAACAATTTTGAGTACGTTTTGAGTAGTGGATCCACACAACTGTATTAATAACATACTTAGCAGTGGAGGGACTGAGTCAACTAAATCATGGCCATACTTAGCACACAGCTTCTGACAATTTCGAACCTTGATGCACTTATATGAACATAAATGATCCTAACTAGGACAGTAATAACAACAGTAGTAAAATATTGTTAACTATATACACTAACATATTTTCTAAAATTGAGAAGATACCCTCACAAAATGACCATAACAGATAGTGTAAATATGCACATATATTTAATATTAATCAATATAATGTTTGGTTTGATTGACGTTCGTTCATATAATAGACCAGCAGATTTCATAATAAAACAATCTGATGCGTACTTGTGATAATTATATGTGAATAAATTGTTACCAATTCACGTGGTCGGTACGAGGTTGTTATCTAATAACGGAATCATCGCATCATATCATGTACGTGCATAAATAATGATCATCACATTTACATAAAATATTTATTACATCGACATGGACAATGCAATTATATGTACCAATTATATGTTTTATAATGCGTTTTGAAAACATCACTTACAGGTACCTATCTGGCAGCGGACGTGTCACCCGGCAGCAAAGCAGTTACGATGTACACCCGTTTACTGTTACCAGGCCAGCATCCCGGAAGCTATAAACTCACCTTTCATTTTGTGATTCCAAGCGCAACAAAGAAAGCATGCAGAACATCAGACGCATCTCTTCGCGTATTTGTACTGTATACCCTACCCAGTGCCAATGATGCCTCTAAAATCACGTCCAACGTCGAATGGAAGTCGTTATCATCATTATGCAATACTGGTGGTATGAATTCATTTGATGCATGTAGTACACTGTGGTACATTGATTCGACTATGGACACACACTATGGCAATAACTGGAATCACGTAATGATAAACGTCACGAATAAATTTGACCACAAGGTAAGACAACGCAGAGTATAGTATTGTCCTTTGATATAACCAGAGTCCAGTTGTTTAGCATAAACGGAACAACTCCCATCAAAATCATTATATGTTCATCCAATGGCAAGTAGAAAGAAAATAATTAATGAATCTATAATTTAACACTAGCCATAGAATTTGTGTCGCATTTCACAACAATGCTGTATGTGGCTAACATTTTTTATTTGTGCTATTTTTTTACAGATTGTTTTCGAAGCACGTCGACACAGCTTTCCCAGTGAGCACTGCACTGACTTTGGAATAGATGACATTTCCATCACACCTTACAGTACATGAACTTTGTCGGCATGATTTGTAATTGTTTTTATTTCTAAATATAACATTCGACACTACACATATAAACCAGATTTTTTTCGACACTAGTGAACAGATATAGACAGGATTTTCAATACGAGTTAAGTTGTTTTGGTGTCTTTTTAATTTAACACATGGCACATCATTGTTTTAGAATTAAAGCTTTACTTGATTGATATCATACGTAAAAGGTAGTGACATTTTAGAATTTTAATTAACAGTACTTGAAAAGGCGACAATCGTTCGAAGAAGAATACTTTTTAACCAGTGAAATTTTTAAGCTCTGAGAACCTGGCGAATTTGCAATACTCCATTACAGTATTTTTATGAATCATGGAATTAGACGTTCATGTGTTGACAATTCAAGTTATTAATATTCTGTTAGTCCAAGGTAATTTAATTATAAATTAGTTATTCCAAACTAGTTTTTACACACACCCTGTTTGTGTGGGTGCTGTGCCTACGTTTCGTACCCTTATGCTATGATGTCGATGGCAGGACCAAGACAATTACAACCATTACAAAGATGGAATATGTAAAACAACATTTTTATAGGGACATATTACTTCTGGATCTTTGGTTTGATGTTTGTATTTTACTCTTGTGTTTAACTCTTGTGCCTATTTTATTGGAATTATGTTTTTACTACTTGACTTAATAATTGTAAATTTTTCAGGATCTAAGTTTATAGTGTAAAAATAGGCACCAAATTATTGTTATTTTACCGGTTTGAATAACCTTATTTGTGTGGCTAAATGTTATGTTGATATGTGTAATGAAAATGCCTTACTATGTTTGCAGTCTCTGTTTTGTTAGCATTTGAAATGCAACCATCAAATATTTATACCATACGATATGAAATATTGTCCACAACATTGTCTTATTTAAAGGAACTGGTAATTACCACACACACTACGCCCACATGATCTTAGGGACCTTCCTCGCCGGCTTTATAATGACGCCTATATTTTAATGTTTGTATCGAGGAGTGAAGTAACCTTTCCAGTTATTTTTGTATTTTTCCTTTCCTTGCAGTTATACTCAGAGCGTATTATTTAATAAAATCAAATTATTGCACTGAATTGATTTATGCCGACTATTCATATACAAGTTTTATTGAAAACATATATTTCGTTTACAAGTTCACTCGAAATTAATCGAGTCTGGTATCCTAATATTATGATAGCTTAATAGGCTCGCACCCCCAGGCCAAGGCCATTATCGACAACATTTCCAGATCCGAATTAAGTACCACCAATTTTTCCATTGTACAATCAATATGCTCCCCCCCCCACAATCCTTCCGCCTGATTACTGACTGCGTTCTCGCTCAAATTCTGACGCTTCACTTGATTTTAACACAAACTTAGAAAACGCTACTAATACTTCCGAAATGTCGTCTGCGCAGAAATGGAGTTCTTTTTAGCCTCGTTCTCGGGACACTCTTTCCAGCATCTCCGCCTTCACTTTTCTGCATTTCATAAACATTTCTCACTTTTTAGTGCCACCAAATACATTCATGACATTCAAAAAAAATAAAAAAAATAAAACAAATTTAAAGTACACCAGTCAATAGTTTCAAACAAAGACTTCTCGTCCCAGGACTTGCCACAAACAGTGTGATTATGATGTTAAACCTAAAGCGCGGTGGTCGTCGCGCAGCGCGTGTTCGAATTTCATGTAAGAAAACAATGTATTTTACACGCGTTGTATCCGTCGCCATGATTCCCATATCGAACAGGACGCGACACGACGACTGCCGCCTTTTAATTATCGCTGATTATCTGATGAACCACTTGGAAGAAAACGTCTATATACGATCCCCATCACCAATTGTGCAGCCATAGATGAATAATATATTATTACGAAGCCACTAATTCCATGATAAAAGAATTCACCACAAAATTGGTAAAACAACCAATGCAGGAATAACGTGTAATATCGTTTCAGTAACCGCACACTAGATTATTCTCTCAAATAATAATAAAACAAATAACATAATAAAATAAACAATAACATGAACGTCCCCCATCTTTCAAGTTTATTTCTTCAGGATTCTCTGTCTAGCTTCATGGTCCTTTTCTGCTTGCCATCTGGTGTCATTGGCACCAATCTCAAAGTGCTCTTGAACTTTAACCCCTCAATATCCTGATCTGCATTAGACACCCTTGAATCTTTGCTTTCTGATTACCTAGCCTCTCCATTGTGTGTCTTCTACCAGGCTAAATTACACTTATTCAGTACTCGCATATATTGTATACATCTCATCCCACCTTGTACTGATGGAGATAATCTTATAAAATCAACAATGTGTACGTTCACACTAAATAAAATCTCATTGCACATTAATTAGAAACCATATCCCTATAACCTGATTCCTTCTTTTCAAACCATCACTCATCCCTCAAATTAATCGTGCAAGATTTCTACTGCAATTTTTGTCTGCTGTGATCATCTAGAGTGTTCAGTTTCTTTTCATTGTAACCATGTCAGGTATTACCGGAAGAATTAGATTAAATATTACCCAGTTCACATCTAATAACAAAAGAAGCATATTGTGGCTGTCGCCTTCTATTGGCAGATGTGGATCAGACAGTTCTTCGTGCACAACGTGTAATAAAACAGGCTTAAATTTCGAGTATGGTGCTCATCGGTTCTCTGTGGTCATCTAGTTTTAAATCGGTCATTTCGCATTGCTCACGGTCTTCTAAGCACTCAAAAGAAACAAATTCATCATCATTACGCAGGGCTTCCACTGTTAAAGCGGCTGCCCTTCAAGTTGGAAGCCAGAGAAGAATAGGCTATTCGAGAGGAGGAGTTAAAGCTAGAGCCTGAGGAGAATAAGCGAAGGGTTGCAGCTGAAGCAGAAATGCAGCGCAGGTTAAGAGAGCTTGATAGACAAAAAGTAGTAAGAGAGCTTCGTATTGAAAAGGCTAAGTTAGCTATATATGAAAGGGAAGATTTATTTGAAAATTTTCCAGTTAAAAGAGAACCCAATTTAGTGCCACCAGCAATGGTAGATACACATAGTACAGGAAAACCAATGGTGATAATGGAGCACATAGCCTCCTGTAGTTG